TCGCGTTTTCACTATCGTACCATCGCGTTTTCACTATCGTACCATCGCGTTTTTACCATCGTACCATTGCGCTTTCACCATCGTGCCATCGCGTTTTTACCATCGTGCCATTGCGTTTTCATCATAGTGCCATCGTCTTCCGGTGGTCATGCGCAATGTTATATTTTTATCAGCAATGTATGCTTCTCATTATTAAACCCAACACCCTCTCTATTTTTGTATCTTTTAGATCTTAGTATTTGGAACATGAACAAAAGGCAATCACTCAAAAATTAGAATTAAAGTTGTCATCCTTGTGCACTGTACATATAAAGTTTCAAGTTGATATATTAAATAAAGCAAGAGAAAAAGATCAAACATATATATAGTATATATAACCATATATTAAATACTCAGTAGTCGTTGATCGTTATACATTATCACGACATAAAAAAGAAACTATAATGTGAAGATAACAGTTTTATTATTTATAACTCAAATTAAATATCAAGTATTTAAACTTGTTTTTATTATCTACCGTAACAGAATCCGACAATTTCCTGTAGGTGTACTGATTATACAGACCGTAAGGCGATGGTAAGATAGCGCGATGGCACGATGGTGAAAACGCGAGGGTACGATGGTGAAAACGCGATGGCAAGATGGTGAAATTGCGATGGTATGATGGTGAAATGCGATGGTACGATGTTGAAAGCATGATGGCACGATGGTGAAAGCGCGATGGTACGATGGTGAAAACGCGATGGTACGATGGTGAAAACACGATGGCGCGATGGTACGATGGTGAAATCACGATGGCACGATGGTGAAAACGCGATGTAACGTCACGTTTTTCCCATCCTACTATCGCGCCATCGCGATCTTCACCACTGTACCATTGCGTTTTCACCATCGTACCATCGTGCATCGCGGGGAACAGACTAAATAAAAAATCACGACTGTCCTAACGGAACACCGTCAGTATTCACGGGGGGAATCACGTGACTTTGTATAGTAATACCCACGAGAAAATGGCTACTGCTGAGCCCCGGTAAGTACCTTATTATGTTAATTTAAGGTGACAAACGTTTCTTAAATCAAAACAAAACCTAGCGTATCATATGCGCGGTAATTTTCTGCAAATGACAATACAAAGTGCATTATCTTACGTTTTGTGGTTTTTGAGAACATTGTTTGAATTGTGTGAAAATTGCACATTCAGCGATAGTAATTCGCACGAAGCGATATAATTTGGTACCAAAATCAATGAAAATAAGCCTTCTTTTGCACTTTAGACAACAAATCAATCATTTTATTGACATCTGTTCTTGTAGAATTCCATATAAAAATATTTTCGAAGGTCTGTAGCCTACAAATGTTCGTTGCAAGTGTTTAGTAAGTAAAACGAACAATTTCTGGATAGTAAGTTCCACGAAAACAAAATAGTAAGTTTCACGTACAGTTTCCAATAGCTTACCAAAATGTGACGAAACTATCTTATAATTCTTTTGGTTACCAATTTGCAAGTATATTCCGTCTACGGTGACAATATTGAGAAATAATTTTAATTATAATTCATATTATTTCAAAATACATGTATTCATTATATGACATATAATTTCATAAAAGATTACTTAATTTAAAAAAATAAATGAGACATTGACATTGATACTCAACAATGTACGTTACACTTGGCCCTTTTTCACTTTAGACTGGACCCACACCCGTTATCTGTAGAACAAGATATATAAAGAAATAACTGTGCAGAAGGAAATATTACAACACCATCATTTACTTTTCAGTATCTGCAATTTGGACCAAAAACGCAAAGGAGCAGGCATGTCACAATGTCACATTGATATTTAATGCCATCATAGAATTTTATTAAATTTATTCCTTTATACACTGGCAGATTGCATAAATAAACCCAAGAAGTTTTGTTAAAACGTTATGTATTACTATCGCTTATTTTCTTACCATCTGCAAATGTGTTGCCTCGTAAACTCTTACTTTTTGTTTGTGATAGAGTTAGTAAATAAGTTATAGGCCTTAAACAGAGTCCTATTATGTTCTCAAAGTATGAAATATCAACTTGTTTCAATAGAATATGAAATATCTGAGGTGGAATGCAAACCTAAAAGTAAATTCTAAGTTGAAAAAGGGTATAATTCTGTCAAAATGCTTGATACAGTTACCTCCTCCTGTCTACAGGTTGGGGTCATGATGGTGAACATGTGTGCAAAGTTTCAAAGCCATATGTCAATGGACTTTGAAACTATTTGAGATATTACAAAAACTTTAACATAAATTCTTAGTCAAAAAGGGGCATAATTCTGTCAATATTGTAGGCAGAGTTATCTAACTTGTCAATCTAATGTACCTTGTTACTTTAAATAAGTATTGTAAGTTTCAATTGAATATCTCAAGCAATAATTGAGATAATTGACTTTACAAAAACTTAAACCAAAATTTCTAAGTTAAAAAGGGGCATAATTCTGTCAATTTTGTAGGTAGAGTTATCCAACTTGTCAATCTGACGAACCTTGTTACTATAAATAAGTATTGTAAGTTTCAATTGAATATCTCAAGCAATAATTGAGATATTTGACTTTACAAAAAACTTTAACTAACACAGACGCCGACGCTGACGCCGACGCCGGGGCGACTGCAATAGCTCTCATATTCTTCGAATAGTCGAGCTAAAAATCACCATACCAAATAACAAGCTATTATATTTTTTCACCTTTTTTATAATTACAGTAAAATGAGGACACTGCAGAGGTCAAAGAACTACTATCGCAACAGAAAAATAACACTGAGCCCTTTAATATTAAATCCCATCAAATGTTCATTTGATATATTATAATAACAACCAAATAAGCATTCGTCCTATAGACAAACAAGAGCTGTCGGTAGGACAGCAACGCTCGACTATTCTTAGTGCTTGATAGTAAAAAAAATGCTTGATACAGTTACCTCCTCCTGTTTACAGGTTGGGGTCATGATGTTGAACAAGTGTGCAAAGTTTTAAAGCCATATGTCAATGGACTTTGAAAATAATTGAACTATTACAAAAACTTTAACGTAAATTCTAAGTCGAAAAAGGGGCATAATTCTGTCAAAATGCTTGATAGAGTTACCTCCTCCTGTTTACAGGTTGGGGTCATGATGGTGAACAAGTGTGCAAAGTTTCAAAGCCATATGTCAATGGACTTTGAAAATATTTGAACTATTACAAAAACTTTAACGTAAATTCTAAGTCAAAAAAGGAGCATAATTCTGTCAAAATGCTTGATAGAGTTACCTCCTCTTGTCTACAGGTTGGGGTCATGATGGTGAACAAGATTGCAAAGTTTCAAAGCCATACGTCAATGGACTTTGAAAATATTTGAACTATTACAAAAACTTTAACGTAAATTCTAAGTCGAAAAAGGGGCATAATTCTGTCAAAATGCTTGATAGAGTTACCTCCTCCTGTCTACAGGTTGGGGTCATGATGGTGAACAAGTGTGCAAAGTTTCAAAGCCATATATCTATGGACTTTGAAAATATTTGAACTATTACAAAAACTTTAACATAAGTGGTTACGCCGACGCCGACACCGACGCTCGGGTGACTGCAATAGCTCTACTTATTCTTATCGAATAGTCGAGCTAAAAAGTGAAATATTTGATCTTGAATAATTAAAATAAGCATTTTCTATCTCTTTACATATGAACTTTAACTTTCTTTTGATGTATATGTATGCTAAGGGAAACTGTGCGTGAAACTTACTATTTTGTTTTCGTGCAACTTACTATCTAGAAATTGTTCGTTTTACTTACTATTCACTTGCAAAGAACATTTGTAGGCTACAGACCTTCGAAAATATTTTTATATGGACTTCTGGGATAAGAGATGTCAATAAAATTATTGATTTGGGGTCTTAAGTGCAAAAATAAGGCTTATTTTCATTGATTTTGGTACCAAATTATATCGCTTCGTGCGAATTACTATCGTTGAATGTGCAATTTTCACACAATTCAAACAATGTTCTCAAAAACCACAAAACGTAGGATAATGCACTTTGTATTGTCATTTGAAGAAAATTACCGCGCATATGATACGCTAGGTTTTGTTTTGATTTAAGAAACGTTTGTCACCTTAATTTAACATAATAAGGTACTTACCGGGGCTCAGCAGTAGCCATTTTCTCGTGGGTATTACTATACAAAGTCACGTGATTCCCCCCGTGAGTATTAGACTATTTTAGGTGATGGGTCTATGCTTTAGGAGCAATTATTTACTGAGATTAAAGTGTAGCGTAAGAAAACACTTTAGACATGTCATGCATACACTTTATCCATTTCCGATTCAACTCAACTCAACTCAACTCATATCAATTATTTGTAAATAAAGGCCTCCGGCCCAAAATACATCATAAGGTATAAGATATAACAAAATGTCAAGTAGTTGTATATTGTGAAACTTAAGTATCATTAATTATATTCATAAGTTGATAGATGTAAATAGATGTATTTTTAACAATGTCAGGGTTTTGAGAAGACAAAAGAGCATAGAAATCTTGAAGTTCTGTTCCATGTATATACCAGCTAAATGAATACATTTGTCTAACATTATCATATTTAACACATTTAAAAAAGGCATGGTATTCACAATCAATTACATTAGCATTATTAAACTGTTGGCAAAAGTTACATATACGATTCGTGTCTGGTTATCGTTATATTATGTATCATAAGATTTAATGTTACTGATAAATTAAGAAATTGATTGAACAGAGAGCTGGAAGTTCAGTTTTCCTGGTATGTCATTTAGTTTCAACAATTTTAAGTATGAGATGATTGTCTGAGTTTTGAATTTTGTTTAATGCACAATGCTTAAAAAGGTCACGGGTTTCGGTTTCACATCCGCGTCATTGTCGCCATGGTTGAATAATAACACGTATTTGTTTTCTACGGAAGCCCATTAGAGCCATTTTGTCTTAGGAGTTTTGTCTTATGACTGATGACTTATGTATTATGACTTCTGTCAGATGTAAACTAAAAAAGGCGGCAAATAGACCAGTTTCATTACGTGCAGCCATTGCGGCGTACAGAAAGGGTAAAAAGGTGAGAAAAGAAGACTTCTTTGGTAAGTGTTGAATTGTTAACAGTTTTACATAATTATATTGTTTATGAAATGACAACTACTGTACAGGCTTGAAAAAGAATGTTTTAACGAGACGCCTAATTTTGTGATATACTTAACTGTATATAATGTATCTTATGAAATTTGTAGTAGTTTCGTTTTTGTTTTAATGAAGTCATAGTTGCTAGAAGATGAAGCTTGAACGTAGACGGAGTTTGGTTTGCATAGAGCAATATCGGCTACTTTGTTGGTATGATGGTATAATATATAGATATCTTGTTGCTAAGGAAGCCAATTAGGTTGTATCCTCATTAAGATGTAGCTAAACCGAAGTATTTAATTATGACTAGATAAGAAATATTCTACTAAGAATTTAGGATTTTTGTTTTGTTGTAGTTAAGGGCAATTGCACAGTATTTCAGTCATAGAACCAGTGTCCCTGGATTCTGTACCAGTACTTATATCTTCTCCACAAGCTAACCGAGCGGGATATAAGTAATAAGATGTCTGTTTAAAGAACAAGAGCACCAAACACAGGCCCTAAACACTTAAAATTACTTAATGCTTTAAAAAGAAGTTAAAAACGGCATAACTCTAACAAGGCATCAATGGAAACGAAGTTCCAAGTTGTTATGCATACAATAATGTCATTAAGTTTTGGAAAAAATGAAACAGATGAAGTTGCGTTTACAAAGTAAAGTATTTCACAAAGTCAGGCGTCTCGTTTAAACATCCTTTTTCAAGCCTGTACAGTAGTTGTCATTTCATTAACAATATAATTATGTAAAACTGTTCACAATTCAACACTTACCAAAGAAGTCTTCTTTTCTCACCTTTTTGTACCCTTTCTGTACGCCGCAATGGCTGCACGTAATGAAACTGGTCGATTTGCCGCCTTTTTTAGTTTACATCTGACATAAGTCATAATACAAAACTCCTTAGACAAAATGGGACTAATGGGCTTCCGTACAAAAGACATTCACATACCGTACAAAACTGAGATGTAAATGATTCATATATAATGATTACTATGGAATGCCGGTAGGGACATGCCACTTTGCTTATTTGCCAACTACTTAATTGCTTATTTGCTAATTGCTGATTTGCCAATTTGCTGATTTGCCAATTTGCTTATTTGCTAATTGCTTATTTGCTTATATACATAAATTTTTATGCTATTGTCAGGCGACACGTCCGAATCGCGAAGTTCTTGTTTGATATAAAATAACAAGTCTTTGTAGACTTTATTTCAAGCTCATGAACCTATATCATGTTATTATGTTTATAAAGTTTTGTTAATTATAATTTGTGACAATTATTATCAATCCATCATTACCTAGAATATAGGTAGAAAGACAGATGGATACATTTTAATCAATTTCGAAAAAAATAAATTCAGTTTCAGAAAGCAGTTGTTTTTTTAATTATCTTGAGTTTCAGTTTTAGCTCCACTATTCAGAGAATATGGATGCTATTCTACCCCAAATGCATTGGTTTTCTTGGTAACTTGTTTTTCTGTCATATCTCTATTACTTTGCCGATTCATGCATCTTACTGCAACTTAGCATAAACTTTGCGTTACAAGCATGGATACAAGGTACATGAAGAAGCTGTGCCCGTTATATACTTAATGTCAAGGTCACCAATGTATTGTACTGAGAAGCCTTTGTTTTTCTGTCATATCTCTGTTACTATTGCTTATATCTAACTGTAACTTCAAATAAGCATTAAATAGGCAGCATGCATACACAATATTCAAAGAGGCTTTGTCCATTATACCCTAGGTCATGATCATGGTCATGGTCACCTGATAGCATGTAAAATGTACAACACGAAGAAATGGAAAAGTGTGACCAAATTTCAAAAACATTGAACCAAAGCAAAATGTTGATGCACACACAGACATAAGTGATCTCAAAATCTCACAGAGCTAAAAACGCAGCCTATTGCTTAAGTGCAAAGACAATCACCCGTGTTAGGCATGCACCAAAAGTATCATTCGTGATACTATGTGTTTGTACCACTACAATGAGGCCCTCTGTGACAAATCTGCTGAGAATAACGACATTTTATATGCCATAAAATAAGAAATAGTTTTGTTTTCAAGTTATTTTTATTTTCAATCTTTTCCCAATAAATTTCACTTATATATGACTAATCAAGTGTTTATTATGCCATCAATCTCTGACTTAAGCTGCACAAACAGATCTATAGCTGCAACACATTATAAGGCATCCTCAAGCACAGATGCTGGCGGGTCAGACCCTGCCCCTAACGTGATACGCGTCTGTAAACACTATATCAAATCTATTTTAATATTTATTTAAATACGAATTGGACATTTGTTACAACGATAAAACCATTAAGTACTTTATTGAGACTTGGTGGTATATGGTATTTTTTCATACCGGTATATGTAAAAATTGCTTGAAAACCAGTTTTAACGATGTCCAATTCGTGTTAAAATATTAAAATATTTTAGATAGAGTGTTTACAGGGGCACGTATCACGTTGGGGTACAGGATCCGACCCCCAAGAGTCTGTGTTCTCAAGGACATGTCAGCCATCAGTTGTAGACATATATCTGCGTAGGCATCACTGCAACTTAATTCATTGACCAACAGTATTCTTGGAAAAACACTGAATTTACAAGAATACTGTTGGTAAAAGTTAACAGATCTGACTCAACTGGCTGTCTGTAGTCAGATTTTCCATATATTTCCGGCACAGTGTAAAGTATTTCTATTGCAAAAAAGCAAATTAGCAATTGGCAAATAAGCAAATACGTAAACCAGCCGTTAACAAATAAGCAAATTAGCAATTCAGCAATTGGCAAATAAGCAAATTTGTCGTTAAGCCTATCAGCCATTGGCAAATAAGCAAATCGGCAATCAGCAAATAAGCAATTCAGCAATTGGCAAATAAGCAAATTGGCATGTCCCTACCGGCATTCCATAGATTACAGATCTTCTGCACCAGCCAACCAAGCAGTGGCCACGTGATCAGTTGCGTGTCATATCTTAACCCAGTTTTTAAAAGTTTTAAACTTGTTCATACGAACAGGATGTGTACTTTATCACGCATAGCTAGTTATCAAAATAGATGTACATGTAATTATTTTTTGTAGTGAAAACATAATTTGCAAAACTGTTTGAATGTGATTATTTGTGGATTATTTGTGGACGGCATTTTTGTTAAAATAGGTACGTGTTGTACTTTTTTCTGGTTTCTGTCTGTCTTAAGGTGATTCCGCTTTGTCAGCCATGTTTGTTTTCACAAAGTCTGTCCTTGGAGGATAACAGAAAATCTGTCGTTATACTCATATTTCAAAATCGCATTTATAAACTGATAAAAGTAATCGAAATGTCGCTTTAAAACGATTATTTATTGACATTTAGCTTCGGAAATGGAACGGGATATCTTGTTATTTCATATATTACGGAATTGTTTTATCCGGGTCAAAACAAGACATTGATATGACATGTGATCGACAAGCCCGTCATGTGACTACAATTTAGTGTAGTGAAGCTGGGCTATTCGTAGGAGAATCACGGCTATGGTGCCATGAAATTGAATGTTAAATTTCTCAATTTTGGCTAAGTTATATTGAAGTTTTTTTCCACAAAAAGAGCCAACTTTCAGTGTAATATCACATTACCAAACTTAATATTACATACAAATATGACAAGATATGCCACAGGTGCTCGACCAGTGTTGGTGCCTATATGAAAAAAAAGAAATTAAAAAAAAAAAGCAAAAAAAAAACAAACACCAACTATTCTGGGTTGAGTGAAAGAAAAAAGAAGATGTTTTTCCCTATATACCATTACTACGAAAAGGTCACCTAGTCGCCGTAACGCTATGGAGCTTTACTAGGACACGTTGTAGAACAACCACAATGTCCAGTTCTGTATTACACATCATGCATTACATTCTTCTTCTACCTTACATACAATCTTAAATAACCTACATTTAAACTCGGACACTCCCAACTTGTTAAAATTTTGCAAAACAACAGTGATTATCGGCCATTTTGTCGAAAACGAAAGTACAAAACAATCACCGTATTTTCCGCTGTCCTGGTCCCTTATGACTACGCTCGCTGAACACTAGAAAACAGTTACCAATAAACTGATTGCTACTGTAGTCGTAGGAAACCAGAAGAGCGGGACAATACGATGTAGGTTTTGTACTTTCGTTTTCTTCAAAATTGCCGACCATCAACGGAATTTTGCAATATTTTAACAAATTGGAGTGTCTGAGTTTAAATGTAAGTCATTTAAGATTGTATAAAAGGTAGAAGAAGAATGTTAACTATTTTCTAAATGCATGATGTCTAAAGACTAGCAAAGTAGTCTGTATTGTTACAGAACTGGACATTGTGGTTGTTTAGAAAAGCTCCATAGCGTTACGGCGACTAGGTGACCTTTTCGTAGTAATGGTATATAGTGAAAAAACGTTTTTTTATCATATTTTTTTTCTTTTACTCAACCCAGAATAGTTTTTGTTTTGTTTTTGTTTTTTCATTTTTTTTATATGGGCACCAAGACTGGACGAGCACCTGTTGGTCGGCCATTTTGTCGAAAACGAAAGTACAAAACCTACATCATACTGTCCCGCTCTCCTGGTTTCCTACGACTACGTTCGCAGAACAGTAGACAACGGTTACAATCAATTTATTGGTAACTGTTGTCTATTGTTCAGCGAGCGTAGTCGTAAGGGACCAGGACAGCGGAACAATACGGTATATGTTTTGTACTTTCGTTTTCGACAAAATGGCCGATAATCACTGTTGTTTTGCAAAATTTTAACAAGTTGGAGTGTCCGAGTTTAAATGTAGGTTATTTAAGATTGTATGTTAGGTAGAAGAAGAATGTAATGCATGATGTGTAAAGACTATATTGTTACAGAACTGGATATTGTGGTTGTTCCTAAGCGTGTCCTAGTAAAGGTCCACATAGCGTTACGGCGACTATAGGTG